CAGCCCATGAAACATAACGTCATGCATACGTTGCATTTGCTCACCTGCCGATGACACCTGGCTGGTTCCAAACGGAGCCTGGAGCAGCGCTTCCTCTCGCCTCACCCTCAGTTTTGAGGCACCTTCGACCCCCGAAACATGAAGCCGTTCCACATTCGGTTTTGATGCGTGATCGTAAAAAAAACAAAAGAAAAGAAGACCTGCATGAAATCTCCATTGTTTTGTAAGTGGTTCAATTAAAACTGGAGAAAGGTTTTGAACAAAGCTTAATTCACCTTGCTGCAGGAGGAAACTCATTATTAATCAATGAAAGAGGAATTCTTTGGTGATCTGTTTCTTAGAATTAATCTGTGCAAGTTGTTACAGGAAGTCTCGGCTCTGCAGCGATCCTTTCCAAGTCCCATCTTTAGGTGTGATGTCATAGTATGTGTTGAGTAAAGATCAGACCCTAAAGACACACTATTTCTCTGCTAATTAAATCAATGTCATCTCAGATCTGCGGAGGCCATTTTAAACGCTGCAATTAGTTAAGCTAAAAGGGGACCCATGAGTAAACCTTTGAGCTATGTTCATGCCGTGTTGACGGGAGAAAAGTTCAGTTCAGTTCAGTAGCTGAGATGCGAGAACATTGACATTAAACTCTCACGCGTTCTACCGGCCAGGCTGGGATCCGACATCACCGTCTCCTTAGAAACCAGAAGACGTGAGAGCTTAAGGAGATTACATCGCCACATTGATACATCCAATGTTTTCATATCTATGTGCATTGTGAAGCAAACAGTTGGGATCCTGTCACTTTTCTCAAAAAATACATTAGTTCAGTGCTGAATCAGTGAGAAGATTAGTGCATTAGTATTCATGGCACACAGCGTTGGAAATCATGGAGATGAAGCTTCAGCAACCAGAGCAGAACTTAAAGGGACTGCTCACCCCAGATCAGATACAGCTTTTACTTCCACTTCCTCTACTTCTACTCAAAACTAGATGGTTTTGATGTGAGTTGCTGACATAGTGATCAATAAAATGGGACTAGATGGCATAAGTGTGCAACATGAATACATGGAAGAAATAGAATAAATGACGTGAAGCTGCTCATGAGGTCTGAGGACCACGTTTAGTAACTTGAGTCATGGAAAGCAACATGGCTGTTGAGTTATTAAGGTTCAATTCGGCCCTTTGAGCGCTAAAAGACGAGCTCCTGCTGGTTCCATCACTTTGGAGACACGACACCACAATTTCCCATTGATGAAATAGTGGAAAAATATGTATATTTAGTTGTCTTTTGTAAATCGTTCTCTTGAGCGGGCTAAATGCTCCGCATACGTTCACCCGCTCGCCTCGGGTTCACGCGTCTGCTCTCTCCTCTTTAAAAACACCCGGCTGCGTAGAGGCCGGCGGACGGACAGCGGAACCGGGCGATCATTCCCCTCACAGTGTTTGACAAAGTATCGATTATGGTCGCTTTAAGTGACCGGCCCGGGCGGAGGAGTTCAGCGACGGCTGGAAAACATGGAGCGCTGTGATGATTATCAGATGGGAGCTCGGCTTTGATACGAATATCAAACTAAGAGTGGCTGAAATCCGACGGAACATCCCCCCCCGTGGTCGTCACAAGCTGTCCTAAGATGTTTCTGCTTCTTAAAGGACTTCTGTCTACTTCCCTCATTTCATCTCCTTTTCTGCGTCCGCGTGCTGCGTCTGCATTATGGACTCAATGTGTGTTTTAACAATATTTGCGGGAACGTTGTCTAAGTTGACAAAGAAGCAGAGGCTGAAAAGGGAAAATGTAATACGCCGAATAAATGGAAATATGGTAAATAACGTAATTCATCCTCCTCAGTGTCTGCACACACAAACTCTGAAGAGCATGATGACCATAATCCTTTTCCTGTAAGCTATTTAATACTAAGTCTCATATTAGTATTCCAGCGCCGGTCTGTTCTGTCCAAAGTCCCCCTCACACCCATTGGTAAAAATAATACACTCACTTCAAAGCAACGCTATACATCTTCAAAGGAAGATACTGTATATGGAAATGCGCCTTTGAACACGCATTCTGCATCTAAATGCAAATTGTTGTCACGGAGGCAAACGGCAGAACGGAGGCCGCTGTGCACGTTTTTTGTTTCCACCGTTCCCTCTTCAGGCCGCTGGGTTCAGCACCTGTGGGCTCTGCACACTCATGGCGTGGTCTCCTGCAGGACAGGGGGGGTCAGGAATGCTTGATGGATTATCAAAAGACAAAAAAGTCAAACCGCCGCATGCTCGCCTCCGGGAGAAGCAAAGACTTTCTTTGCGGCTTTCAAGAAGATCAAGCCGCCGCAGGAGTGACTGGGACCAAAGGGACGGCCCCGCTGGCGCCACCCAAACTTCGGCGGGGGGCCGGCGGGGGGCGCTCCTCGGCCTGGGCGGTTGTTTGCCCTCGGGTCGTCTCCTGTTGGTTCAGGGTAAGTGGTGTGAGGTGGTGGGGGGGGGGTAAACAGTGTGTGAGCGCCAAACGGGGGCCTGTGGGGAAATCGGCGCCTTGGTGAATTTTGACATCACTATCTGCGGCTTTATTTCCTTTTGGGGGGAGGCGGGGGGATTATTGCGTTATAATGGTAACACATGCAAGCACTTCAGGCTCAAACTGACTAAATTACACATTTGCGTTTCCCCGGCGTGCGGTTCAGTCACTGACAATTGGTTTCAAACCATAAAATGAAATCCAAATTAAAATGTAATTGTCTCTCATTTAGCCTCTCACCTTTTACACACACACACACACACAGACACACACACACACACACACAGACTCAGACGCAGCCGGGAGGAAATCATTTTTCGAAGGAATCCACAGTGTCGCTCTCTCAGCCGGTCCGGCAGTGATTGAGTGCGGCTCTCACTGTGTTTATTACATCCCTGCATCATTACGTGTGGCATGTGTATTGATGCTATCACAACACCACCACCCCACCACCACCACCACCACCACCCCGCCCCCCCCCCAGTTGATGGCTGTTGTCATATCCGACAGTGAACCGTAGCTGTTTTAAAGCCACATCAACATGACGGATATTCGGCAGCCGTCTGACCCACACGACCTTAATAACGGTGGTTGCGTTTGTCTTCCCTTTTTTTTTTTCTTCTAGATTTTCATTTTATTTTATAGCAAAGCTCCCGGCATCTGTGAGATGGATCCAAAATCACACAGCACCTCCTGCTGTTGGAAAATCAACACGTCACTCTGACACCAAATGGGGAAGAACCGATAAATAATCCGCCTCATTATTCTTCTATAGAGCTTGTTTCAAAGTAAAGGATCAGGAATTTGTACTACAATGTGTCCCCCAAGGTAGATTATCTCAGCTTTATTCACTCAATGGTGCTGCACTGGGTTAGGGTTGTGCTATTAATACCAAATAATTGCCCAACTTATCCTCATTTAATGGTTTGTAAGGTAACATGTTTGCAGTCTTTTCAAAATAAAAGTCTGTCCTAGGTTTAGGAAAAGATGGAGACATAGTTGGGCTATGGGCAAAGTTTTTTAAATACTTTGTTGGTAATATGCTGATTTAAGTGACTACTAAGTACTACTAAGATGTCCAACAAAGTCGTTTTGTAAATGTAGATTTTTTTTGTAGTTATGCTACAAACGCTGGATGAGACCCCAGAAAATCATAAACACAAATGTTTTCTCACTTTTAACACCTTTTTCCCCGCAGGAACTATTTTCTTTCCACTGTAGCTCATGAAACCGATCCCAACGAGGTCTGTGGGTTATCTGGATTAACTGGGTCATAAATTCAAAATGCACTTCATATTTACATTCCCATATATACAATCCCATTATAGTCAAGAGAAGGCCGACATCTCCAGAGCGGCAGAAAGCAACTCACACCATTCCCGGATTGATAAACAGCACCAAGGGGACAAAAAGGAACGTGCATTTTGGGGGGAACTGCCCCTTTAAAATGTGGTGAAACTCAGCTGCTGCAGAAGTCACAAAGGCACGACGTGTGACATCTTTCCCAGACAATCGGCCACTAAAGACGTCAAGCAGTGATGGATGGAGGCCTTTTATTCACGAATATGAAACACGCATTCACATCCATCCTCTCGCCGTTAACTAGAGGCACCTGGGAAACAACTCATCCAATTGGTGAAACAGATGGAGGTTGTTAAGCAGACGTTCCCTCCTTCATACAGGAAGCCGTCTTTCTTCGATGCCTTTTAAGTTAATGAGGCTTTTTGTCAATTCATCACGTTCTTTTGCTTAGTGAAGAATGCGATTCACGTCATTCTGTTGCGTTAATGTTTGTTTCGTGTAAACACGTCCGTCGTTCTACCTGGATTTCTATTTTTAACCATACGAGAGAAAAAGACAGAGTTTATCTGTAGATATTTAATCGTTTTAGTTCAGTTTTTTTGTCTGTTTTCTTCTCTCCTCCGTGCTTTGTACATGTGTTTTCCCATGCGGCATGTAAAATAAAACAATGAATGATACATAACCTACAATAATATTTAAAATCTACACCCTCAACAATTCTAAATAATATTACAAACCCTCTTTCGTTTGTGGCGTCGGAAGACGTGCGACATCAGGACAAATCCACTAGATGGCGCCACGTGAGAGAAAGAGACGGAGTCACACAAAAAGACCTTTAAATTCAAATTCCAGTGAATTTCTTGGTTCATTTTTAATTTGGAGCCCGATTTGTCTGAAATCCTGGCCGAACACTTCAGACCTTCAATAGGAAATAAATACAAGATGATCCGCTGCTTGAGCCGTGACGTTTTTGTCAACAACAACAAAGAAAAAAAAAAACATTTTGCAAATATTTACCGGAAACACTCGATATAAATACATCGTCAATAATGTCGGGTGATTGATTCATTTCTCACACTCGTTCCCCGGGCAATGATTTCACGCCGGCGGACGCGTCTCTCTCTCCCTCCCTCTCTCCACCCCCCTCCCTCCTCCTCCCTCCCTCCCTCCCCCCCTCCTCGGCGCACAGGCGCCCTCTCTCAGTCCGCGACACACCGGGAGGACCGTGCGCTGCGCTACACCTCCGCGTCAGTGGACTCTATGTTGGATACAAAGCCCGGCCACAGCGCACGTCCATGGGGAGACTTTAGTGGGACCTGCAGCCCCCGCGACCTCTTACATGAAAGCAGGTGAGTGAACATTTGGGGGAGAAAAGGGGGCGCAGCGTGTCGCAGGCGTGTTTTTTTATTTTATTCTAGCTTACAAACTCCTTCAATAATCCATCACGCAGTCAAGCCTCATCTATTCATATTCTACATTACAGTATTCTCCAATGTGCTAAATATATAAGATAATAATTTCCTTATTCTCTTCTAGGAATACAACATTATTATTTAGGGCAACGCGAATTTTATTCTCTTATATATGTGAGATGTTAGATTTTAAACTAAAGCTGAATTAATGGAGCCATAAAGTGGCTGGGTTGTTAAATCCAGCATATGGTACAAAGTCACCAGATGACACACACACACACACACACACACACACACACAGTGAGGCCCTGGAGACAATTGGTCCCCTGTGTGTTTTATGATAATGAAAGTGGACTCCCGCTGGTCCAGGCCGGTCCTGAACACAAAGATCACTCTCAAGAAGTCCGGTACTGAGGGCGCCTGCTCGGTGCTGAGGCAGCGTGTGTGTGTGTGTGCGTGTGTGTGTGTGTGACAGCACCATTATTCACCGGGAAGCCTAATTGCATTAGTTTTTGTATTTATTCCCCGGACAGAAGAAGTGCTTGGTTCGGCTGAGCCGGCCCGCCCGGTGCACAGGTCTGCACGTCATCCGTGCAGTTTGAGGGATTATTTTCCCAAGGCCCGAGTTCACTGTGTTGAAACCAGAAGGAAGGAACGCAGCTGATGGGGGCAGGAAGCCCCCTCGCGGCTGCTGGAGACCTCATGAATCTTACATGTGATGCACTCGAGCAAACGTCGAGTGTCGAGGGTCGCGCATCCATTTTTTAGGGGGTTGTGCATCACGTGACGGCGAGGGAAGTAGAACATGATTTCGAAGCGGAGATCAATAAAGGACAGGATTGCATCCTGTGTGTGTGTGTGTGTGTGTGTGTGTGTGTGTGTGGAAGCAGACCATCCTGCCGCCTCTCTGTCTAAATGCAATTCCTTAATGCACTCAGAGTCAGAGATCTAATAACAAAGTGGAGGAGCATCTTCTACAACCCCCCCCCCCTCCTAACCGCATCCCCACCTGCATCTTTGCTGCAGCGTGAGGGCCCGGGGCCGAGAGGCTTCATAAATAACAAAAAACAGACCCGACACGTGCTGCTCCGACGTCTGGGAGCTGCCAATCATCCTTCTCATATGCTGAAACGCCTTAGTGTGCAGAGAGAGAGAGAGAGGGAGAGAGGGAGGGGGGGGGGGGGGGGTGCCGGATGTTCAATCCCCATTTGCTGACGCGAGGAGGGAATTTAACCTCCTAATAAAAGAATCGTTTCCATCGACCCGTCCTGAAGACCCATATTTCCCGCGGTTGCTTGCTCGAGTCCCGCCGATGGGAAATGAGCCGTGACTCGTTTCCCGCGCGGCGTGGACACGTGTCCACTTGTAGTGACCTGCATTTCGGCAATTAACCTGTGCTTGTCGCCATCTAATAACCCCCCCACCTCCCTCTATACGAGGGAGGGGGGGGGGGGGGTAACCAACTGATGGTTATCATCGTCTTCACAACGAGGAAGGCATCTGTTGTGCAAGAAAATGCATGAAACAAAAATGAGATTATTCGATTACCCGTTGAAGGGGACAGTGGAGGTCCCCTCTCTCCCTCTCCCTCCCTCTCTCCCTCCCTCCCTCTCTCTCTCCCTCTCTCTCTATATGAAGGAGGCCTTTTCTTAGACGCCCCCCCCCCCCCCCCCACACACACACACACACTCCCGTGACTCTCCTCTCGCAAAGAGTCTCATGAGCGCGATTTGTTCCGCGATTTTGTTGCCTAAAGTGACCGGAGGCGCGCGCACGGAGGCGCACGGAGACGCGCGCGCGTGCACGCTCCAGCCGGCTGAGTGCAGGGTACCAAGCGGACCCTCCGCACTCTGAAAGCAGGGCTCCTTTCAATTGGCTATTTGAATCAATGTTTGCTTGCGTGTGTGTCTGTTTTTGTGTTGCAAAGCCTTTTATCCCCCCCCCCCCCCCCCCTCCCCTCTCCCCCCCCCTCCCTCTTCAGCTGCCGAGTGCCTGAAATATTTAACAGGGACTGCACTATTTTTGGGTTTGTGCTGGGTTTGTGGAGGAGCTTATGTAACGTCAATGTGTAGTTTTGGCGGGTGCTGTTGTGTGCCAAAGAACAACGCGGCACGCCACCATGGGGGGGTTTTATTCCAAGTCTGATCCGCCCCCGCTTTGAAGGCAGCGTTCAGCTGAAGGGAGGCCCGTATATCCTCTCAGCTTACCTGTTTCTCTGAGGTATCGATCAAGGCTCTCTCTCTCTCTCTTACATCTGTCCCCTTGCTTTCTCAATCTCCCCCCCTCCCCCCTCTATACTGTTCTCCTCCCTCTCCTCTCCGAGGTGTCACATTCTCTGACTCATGCCCCGGCGTGGTGGAGGATGGGAGGAGCGGGGATGAAAGAGAAGAGAGGAAAGTCATTTTGCAGATAGAGGGAGTGACCTTCATCCAGCCAGAGGGATGGGATGAAAGCTGGAGTTAATACCCTGCCAAAGTGTATTCTCCGCCATGCCAAAAAAACTCCATTTGGAGTGATATATGGTTCTAATAGAAGCTCTCTAATAATAAGGAGTATGCCATTGTAAGGCAAGGCAAGGCAAATCACCAGGAAATTCTATTATGAGTCCAGAGGGATAAACACTCGGGAGAAGGTCCCAACTTAATCGAATGAACACAGCAATGCAGCACGTGACGAAGCCACCAGGAGATGTTCCCTAAAACTGTGGAAGAGATTGAGAAGATGAAGAAGACTGGTCAGCATCGGAGATTTATCGATCGGCCAAAAAAAAAGAGACTCTTCTATGGCATCAGCTTCTTAAATGTGTTGTTTACTTGCTATCATATTATTGCAATTGGTGTTTGATTTAATTGTGATTTTGGACGGGTTGCCAGATAAAACACGGAACCCGAGGATGAACCCAAACAAAACTTCCTTTTCCTTTTTTTCTTTTTCTCATAACTTTATTGCAAAGAAGGCATGACCATCCACAAAATATCTGTGTTTTGATCATTCTTTACTACTTACTGTGCGAGCCGGGTGTCTGGGCTCGACCCCTCCGCTGACTAAAGCCGCCCTAAACAACGGCTCAGACGGTGCGACAATCAACAGCCCAGCAAACACGACCCCTGGTTCACTATCTGTGCGTTTGTGTTGTTCTTCATCCCAGTCGGCAGTAATAAGGAGGGGGGGGAGTAACTCGACTTCACCTCAACGAGCAGACGGGATCTTTTGTGGGAACGAGACTTGACCAATGCGCGGTTTCTCGCACATTGACTCCCTTCTGCGAAGGGTGGTGTTCATCCAGAGCCTACTAAATACACCCGGAACCTACGGAGGGACCCGTTGATCAGGGTAGACCGCCGGAGTGGACTGTCGATTCCGTCGCTGTTCATTATTGGATTCCCCGGCGATTACCGGCGGCCCTCGACCAGACTCTTTTGAGTCGTCGCGACGAGGAGAGGCCCCCGAGAAGCGACGGGTGTGACGGAACTGTTCGGCACATCTGCTTCTACAATCTGTGTGAGATCCGGTAGTGTCGTCCGCTCTTGAAGGCCCACCCCCCCCCCCCCCTCCCCTCCCCGGCTTGTGGATCTTTAAAAAACGCACACCGCTTTGCGGTAATCTTATCGGCGCCGCCCCACATTTCGGTGCAGTGAACGGCGGCTGTTGGCCTCCGCCCCGTCCAGCCCGGGGGTCTGATGACCCTCTCTGGGGGCGTCGTGGTTGACAGGCGGCTGACGCGGTTACGCTTTAACACCAGACAAAGCCGGGGGGGGCCGGTAGGCGAGGACAGTCCCCCCCCCCGGCCCTGAGGACTGACCCTCCCCCCCTCTCCTCTACACGTGACGGAGCTGAGAGATGAAGCACTGCTCTTTCATTTCAAGCCTCTCCTGTTTCACAACCAAAGCTCTCTCTCTCTCACGGCGGCACTTCTACATACTTTAAGTCAAGAGCTTTGAAGTCTTTTTGAAGTTGTGCCCTTTGTTTGTTCATTCCTACGTATATGTTTATAATAGCTATAAATTATGTACGTTAAAGTTAAAGAAAACATATTTTCACAATCCTGCAAAAGTTGGGTGTCGTCATATATTCCCCATGCGGCTTCCTCCGGGTCTGAAATGTCTCAAAGCTGCATTCTCTCTAGTGACCAGCAGGGGGCGACTCCTCTGGTCCCATAGAAGTCTATGAGGAAATGACTTTTCTCTTGGTTTATTCCCTCAGTAAACATTGTAAACATGAGTTGATGGTCTCAATATCTATAGTTTCAAGTCTTCTTCAACACAGCATGATGTTCATTTAGTAAACGACGGTCCATTTAGAGTCAAACAGACCATGAGAGGAGAGGATGCTTTAGGGCGGGGCTTAATGTGATTGACAGGTCTCTACTACGGGTTGTCCGGTCGGAGAGTTTTCCGCGTCTCCGCCTTTTCGACTCAAACTCTTCCACGGAGTGTTTTCGCTTCATGAAAGTGAAACATTTTTTTTGGTGGCTTGCAAAATGTTTCATCCACGGTCGGGTTCGCTTAGCGCCGCCCTCTCGTTTCCCACAAAGCAGTCGGTGGCCTCTGAAAGAAAAGCTGTTTGGAGAAGTTGTCAGCGCTGTCAATCAATTCGCTCACACTCCGAGTCTCCGAGAATGAGGCAGCTTCGGCCGGTGGAGCTTGACAACATCAATTCGGAGAGGAGGTTTAAACTGTGAGCAGCTAGTTTTTGCATGTACAGTCTTTCTCTCCCGCCGCTCACATGAAACAAGGTCACTGATGAATCCCGACTGACGGCCGTGGTGCCGTTAAACGAACCCAAACACGCAGCGCCTCGCTGAATATTTATTTCACGTTGAACTCGGTCCAATTTGATCAAAAGGCCTCTGCAAAATGCGTTGAGTCAAATACCAATTCATGCTTCTCTCCCTTTGGGACGGCGGATTCATAGATTGTGGTGAGTCATCCACAATCTCTGGTTTTATCAGAGCTGCCAAATAGATCGCAAACTACAAATTACTTAGCATTTTGTTAAGTGCAGCTTTCGCTCACGTGGGGGAACCTTGTCCTGACAACAGGAACCAATTTATGACATTGAGTCAAAGGAAGGCGAGCGTATGTCTCTCCCGAGCAGCTGGTTTACCCGGTAACGCGGTGCGTCGCTTAAGCACACGTTCGCTCTCCGATGTCTTTCTTTGTTCTGTTTTTAAGTGGGTCCCTGGTTTTCGGGAACCACTGCAACAGAGGATCCGTCTCTCGGACGCTTTTGTCATTCGTCGGGAATCTGAGCAAAAGACGCCCTGATTGTGTCACGTGGACTCAAACGTGGCCCGTGAGTTTATGACAGATGCTGCACGGACGGGAAAAAAAAGTCTTCCTTTGGAGCTTCTCGTCAGATCAAAGCTTGTTTACTCTGTTTCAACAGGACGATCTCTGCCTGCGTGTGTGTGTGTGTGTGTGTGTGTGTGTGTGTGTGTGTGTGTGTGAATTGTTGCCTCCTTTCATCCCAGCAGCTGTATGTGTGTCAAAATGCTTTTCCTTGGTGGACACAGAACTGCACGTCGCCGTCTCTCTCTGTCTCTGTCTGTGTGTGTGTGTGTGTGTGTGTGTGTGTGTCTGTCTCTGCGCGTGTGTGTGTGTGTGTGTGAATGGTCTCTCGCTATGTGCGTGTGCGCACGTTGACACCCTCTCACTTACCGCTGTCTATGTGCGCCACGCGGGGGACACCCTATCCTCTCTGCCTCTGTGTGTTTATCGAGGAGACACTCAATACCCCCCCCCCGTCCCCCCGTCCCGTCCCGTCCCGACCCCAGCGTATGTGCTATAGGCAGCGAGGGGGACCCTGTTTCTATCCGTCCCCATGGGGACGAGGCATGTCCTCTGCTTACCTCGGGCCTGCGGCGTGTTGTGAGGGACTCGATGTCTCGGAGCAGGTGTCCGGTCCTCTGAAGCGGCAGCGTCTCTTTCATGTCCTGCGTCTCTGTGGAGCGGACGCTCCTCCTGAAGAAAACATGGCACTCGAAAAACAGAGAAAAAAAGGGAAAGTATGCCGGTCGCTTTTATCTGTGACGCCTTTGATGTACGCTGCAAAAAGCAAAAACACCTCAGGATTTTATCAAATCTTTATATTATAACTTTGTAGTAAACATACATTGTTCATCACATGGCAGAATCAGTTTGAAATGTATTTTTTATCTCAAGGCCGGCAGCTTGTTAAAAGCAGATTCATGGTTAGTTTGAAGAAGGAAACAGCCGATCTTCTGTTAAGCGTCCTCGCTGAAAAGCGCTCCTACGAACCGTTTGGAAAGGACGCTTCACTCCCGAATCGTCCTCCTCTTTCCCGTAGTGCCGTTTCTAGTTTATTCGAGGTAGAGATGTTCGTCATAATGGAAGTCAAATTAAAGGAGCACTGGGCCGTGGCGCCGGGGAAGAACTCGCGGCTCAGTTAACGTCTCCCTCCAGGACAGTTGGACATATGGTCATACGTGCTCTGTCGCTTCAGAAGACATGACCCACTTTCTCAACATAATCCACAGACATGAAACCGATAAGAGCAGTTGAATCTATCTTGGAATTATCTTATTAGTTTGATAGTTTTGGATTAACTGGAACTAAGAGCCGGAGCTGGTGAGTTTCTTGTTCCTTCTCCAGTGTGTTCGATGGCTTTGTGTTGCTGGAAGTGAGGACGTGTGGGTCCTCGTCTCGGGTCGCATAGATACAGTCAGTGAGTTAGAGAATAATTGGAAAATAGGTGAAACTATGAATTAATTAAAGTGTATCAAATGTATTGTTTTGCCACTTGGAGCTCCATCTGTCTGTCATCTAGTCCCATTACGTTCATGGCGTCGCACACGCGGTTTTGGGGGGTGAACCGGGGTGAAACTCAGCAGCTGAAATCACAACTCTCATCAGCGTGAACGTATCTGCCGTCGTTCACTTTGTGGGCTGATACTGACTCGCAGAAAGAAGAAATGGCGCCATCAGACTGTCAAAGGGGAATAAAAAACGCCTACACGGCGTTCAGGAACAATCGCCTGCCGAAAATGTCAAGAAGGGACGAGCAGCATTTTGGATGATTAGGAGGTGACAAACAAACAACAAGATAAACAAAAGTAGAACACAAGCAGCGACTCGTTGGAAGGAGCTCCTGCGAGCTGGATTGAGTCCGGCGGAGCAGGACCACGGCGACGGAGGAGCAGGGCGGCCTCCGGCCATGTCTGACCTCTGCCCGGGTCAAATTTAGAACAGAGGGCCTCTGTTCCCGCCGCTCCTGGGATCCTGGCCCGATGAGTCCAGAGAACACGGAGCGCACGCCTTCATTATCGACCCCCGCCGAACACTAGCCCCTAATGCACCGACAACGCCCTGCTGGGGGGGGGGGGGAGAAAACGAAAACCCACACAGGCTCCGCGTGCGAGCGTCATGAGGCCCAGCGCTTGAATAAACCGGCAAAGGCAACAACCCTGCTTACATCTCGAATAACAGCCATTTATTAAACACGATCTCCCCACATAGCTCACCGGATCTACCGACGGCGTGCAGATTTAGAATAAGACACATGCGCGCGTGCCAGGCGGCGTCGGCGGGCCGGGGCCACGTGGGCTGGCTGGAATGCACTTGGGCCGATAAACAAAAAGGGGCTTTGATGAGTCAAAACGCAGAGGGGAGCTCGTTACTGTTCAACACGAGCGCCGCGACGACAAAGGATCCCTCTGACGCCGCGGAGATCCGGAAAGCGGAATTCAAATCAGATGCTTTTTGTTATGGTTCTGAAAGCGGAGCCGATAACAGTAAGTGAGTTATTAGATCAGTCAAACAACTGCTCTGGAGATGGTAATGCCAACCACTCATCACGCGCAATCACGTATGTATATTTATATATATATATACACACACATTATCATACCAAATGTCAAATGCTAATGCTAATGTCAAACTGTGATGCCCCACTTTGTTCACAGTGAATCTAGAATTACAAAAGCTCTTTGTGAGGATCGGAGGAAAACACGATTGGGCTTCAAATAAACACATTGGTCCTGGAATTCTCGTTTTTTTTCTGGGTCCAACCAAAGACTGAACTGTACATAATCCACTCGCTAATGTGTCTGCAGCTCCCGACCGCTGTATTGTTTGATCAAATGAATACAACCCCGGCCCCCCGATTAGACGCTGAACGGGCGGCCGGTCGGCTCCGTATCGTCGTGCCAATCTTGTCGGAAAAAAAAAAAAAAAAAAAATTCAAGCTTGGTGGCAGAAAGGCACACCGGTGCCGCGAGTAGTCGCTTAGCAGTTAGCGTCCGTTAGCCGATCACGCCGGACGGAAAAACCAAAAGCGCTCAGACCGTTTTCCCCCGCTCAGGTAGAAGCTTCGTTCACCAGCGGCTCGCGAGAGCGGCGAGTGATGAGTCAGCACGCATACAACGAGAATATAAAACAGGCAATAAAAAGGCCCGAATCCAACCAGCAGTTTGCTGCAGCAGAATGCGAGCTCGCTCACAAGCACGTGGCGATGAGGACGCAAGGAAACTTCCTCCTTCAACTTCCGCTCGGCGGCTGTGTCTGCGCGCCGCGCATGAATCCGTCTACTTCCTCAGGACGCGCTGACGAATGAAAGCAAATATAAACGCGGAGGAAGCGCGAATGATTCCGTGAGCTACCAACACACATCACGCTGACACGCGGCGGCCGGGGTCGACTCCCGCGTTAATCAGCACGAGCTCCGTCACACACGAATCCGGCCCTGAAGAGACGCGTCTTCTTCTTCTTCTTCTTCTTCTTCTTCTTCTTCTCGCTGTGACGCAGCAGATGTAAACCAGGTGCCCGGAGAAAACGCCAAACATTTTTACAGGTTGTTTAAAAAAAAAAAAAAAACTGTTTTCCAATTGGATTTGATTAACTCCGCAGTCGAACTCGAGTTTTTTTTCTATTTTCCTATCCAATTTCATTTTCGAGTCGACGGTCGGTGGGGGGGGGACGCACAGATAGCGCGTGAGTCATCGATGTGCCACCCGCCGTCCGTCAGGAGCTTCTGCTCGATATATATCGAGCAGCGGCCTTCTCCGGCCGTGAGCACGTCGTGGATCATCACCGCGCAGATGAAGTTCCCTCAGGTCATGAACCCCGTTTAAACGTTCTTCTCGGGGGGCCTTTTCGGTTGGATGCAGTCGTGTGTTTGGAAGGACGATTAACTCTTTTTTTTTATTTCGGGGGGGCGGCGGGTGGGTGTCATTTTTCTCCAGAGTGGCAGTGAAGGACCTCGGAGAGATCGAGCGCTGTGCCCTCGTCCGACGAGCGCGTTGTTCATGCGTCTCCCTGCGCGCCACCACCACATCACCATGAACTGTGAGCAGGACTTGGCAGACGGGGGCTTGGGAGTGACCCTCACACTACGGCTGCTCATGCATGGAAAGGTGGGAATGGAACCCTCGCCGCCTCATAAATGACTGTTATGATGATTGTAATGGATTCACTGAAAAGCGAAGGGCTTTCAGGATGAATTTAGTGGTTGTAATGACTTTGCTCTGTTTGTATTCTAGGAGGTTGGCAGCATCATAGGAAAGGTGAGGATTCATTTTTGTTTAATTGTTCTACACATAATGCTGCATATATGTATGAACACATGAATTATTTGGTGGACAAGGTGGATGTTTTTGAAAAGCTGTGTTAGGTATCTAATGTTAACCTGTATTTCCCATTCATCTACCCCAGAGGTGTTTGTGTAGAGGGGGGAAGACCTGGAAAGGACAAAAAAAGGCCGCTCTGTAAATATTAATCGACGTTGAGCAGTTTTGACGGCGTCAATAAGCGTGCTGATTGGTGGAAAACGCTCACGGCGAGAACACGTTGCCGGACTTGTCGGATCCGTTTTGGGGAACGCGGCTCTCAGAGACCCTGAGGGGGAGCGATCGGTGTGGAAAGTCACGGCTGTAAATGAAACATGATCCATCTCGTTAACAGCAGTAAACCTTTATGAACCAAAGAATTCCGACATTCAAGGTTGTTCAAAAAAAACTACCAATGTTTCTCGTGTTGCTTTTTAATGAAAAGCCGCACATCCACACATTTCCTCCTCCTCGGTTTCCACGGCTTGTCCCCTTTTTAACGATGCAAGGGTCAAAGGTCGGAAGATGTCGTGGGTTCTTGCACAGAACGTAAAGCTCCGTTTGCGCAACCATGATGGGCTTCGCAAACAAATTGACTTAAATGATCCGACCGCCTGATCTGACGTTTGATGCGGACAATCAATCCACCACAGGAGACTCATACCGGAACCAAAGCCCCCTTAAGCAGCAACGCCTGCAAAAGACTCCGACGGAAGACGGGGGGGGGGGACAAGCGCAGAAAAAGAAAGGTGCCGGGACAGAGAGAAGTCACAGGGGACGCGTCGAAAATTAGAGTGCGGAAAAGACAAACAAGCGAGGAGCGAGAGAGCTGGAGAGACACACCAGCGGCTCGACGGATTGAGGCACTTGATCCGCGCCACTCGGACTAATGACTTGCCACTCCAGCACGTCCGCCAAAGCCTCTCACGGCTTTCTCATCAATAAAGAGGGCCGACACCAGAATCACAATCCGCCGCCCGCAATAATACGAATTTCATGAAGGGCGGGGGGGGAAAAAAACATGAAAAAGAGTGAAGGCGGTGAGCGAGATGACACAGCTTTTGATCGTCAGCGGATGCAGGGAGGTGTGAGCTGTGACAGCTTGGATTGACTAATGCCAGAGAGGGGATGTGAGAGGTGGGCGGGGGGGGGGGGTAATCTCAAAAAACACGAGAAGGATGTGCTGCCGCGTGACAAAAAGGCAATAAAATGCTCTTGTCTCCTGGCGGAGTTTTACACACACACACACACACACACACACACACACACACGTTCCAAATAGTTCGGCTGAATCCCAATCGGACGCAGCCGGTTTCACTCGGCGTCTCAAACAAAGCCCACGTGACCCTGTCTAAAGCTCTCCTCCATCTTCTCTTTTCCAGAAAGGGGAGACGGTGAAACGAATACGGGAGGAGGTACGGTATCCACGACAACCGCTCATCATCTGCACCGCGGCGCGTTGTGCTGCCGATTGTTTCACGTCAGGAGAAAACATGCACTGACGATGAGGCTCACTCGTGGCACTCAGTCATCCCTTCACGCCTATGCCCCCCCCACCCTCCACACACACTCCCCCGTTGGGACCCCGCTGTCTGTCCGCTGATCACGTGACCTGCCGACATCTGGGTAGAACCGGGCCAGCTGTTTACCGCGTGATTCAAACCATTATTCCAAGCTAATTCCAATAGCTCTGCATTTACAAAAGGGAAAATAAGTGCTGTCGATCTTCTTCTCTTCGCCTGACTCCCTGCAAGAAAGCCAATAATCGTATTTTGCAAACGGCAACAAACGGCTCTCTGGTTTGCGTTGACCAATGACTGACCTCCGTCCCCACAGAGCAGCGCACGGGTCAACATCTCAGAGGGCTCCTGTCCGGAGAGGATCATCACCATCACCGGCTCCACGGACTGCGTCTTCAGAGCTTTCACCATGATCACGTACAAGCTGGAGGAGGTAAAAACGCGCTGCAACGAGGACGCTGTCAGGTGTCGCGTGACGCGTGTGAGGCGACTCAGCCCAAAGCACCCACGAGCTCTCAACGTTTGCCCCTTAACTTTAGCCGCGTTCACAGCTCGCACACGCGATTGCACAAGGAGATTTGGTGTAAGTAACAGAGCTGTTCAATTGTCGGCATTGAGCGGTACGTTAAATCGTCGGATTACGGCGGATTGGGTGGAGCATTAATCATTAAGATGTACACTTAAAGCAGGTTTCAAACAGAGGAAATGCAATTGGAGGCACTATACAACTATGAAGGAAAAGACAACAAAAGGGGAGTTCAGAGAGACTAATAACCAAATAAAGTTAAAGTAACATCAAGTTGAATAACCACAATATGTCTAAACTGTAGAATAAATACACTATAAAATAATAAGCCTTCATAATACGAAGGTTGAAAAGCAAATGAAAAACCTGACTGGCAACGAAATACGTATTAACACGTAATTCTGCTACTTTGTACCTGAGAACGATTAATAAACCCCGTCATCCATCGTGGCGCCGTACCCCG